GGGAGGAAAATACAGCGGTCACTGGCAGCTCAGGGCCCCCGGGAGCTCTCTACGGCGGGTGCGGTGCCCGCCTGTTGGGGCTGTCACCATCCCGGGCTCTTCCCCAGAGGCACCGCAGCAGCTGGATCACATGCCCGGGTGCTGCCTTCAGGCCGCTGCACAAAGCAAAGTGCTCCCAGCTGGCTTCAAAGTGGTTGAGACAGGTCTGAACTACACCAGAACGAGAGCAGGTGCCCCGGGGCTCGCTCTGGTTTCACCTGGCCCAGCCCTGGAAAGGCAGCAGCAGTCTCCGAAGTCTCTGGGGCAAAGTGATCTAGTCGGACCCAAGTCCACCCCGGGGCGGAGGCTGCCTGCAGTCCTGGGGCTGCTCCCGTCAGCAATAACCGGGGCAAGAGGGAGCTTTGGTTTGCTCTGCAGACGATCGCAGCTTCCCCCAGAACCTGGGGCCCTCCGAGGCGGTGGCACTCACCTGTCGCGCCCCTGCCGGCTCGGGCCCCGGGGCTGCTCTGCAGCCTGTTGAGCTGCTGCACGTACAGGTTGCGTGTCGAGTCCGTGACCGGCCCCGGGTCGGCCCCCAGCTTCCGCAGCTTCCGCAGCAAGGCCTCGTCGGAGCAGGCGGGCGCCGGCGGGGGCCGGTTCTCCTTGGCGCCCCGCTGGGACACACAGGCCCTCCAGTCGTAGATGATGGTGTCCTCGGAGCTGGTGTCGGCGCAGCAGGAGGTGTCGTCCGTGGTGGGGACGTGGCGCTCGATGAGAGCATGACCCTCCTCCTCGTCCAGGTAGAGGTACTCCACCGCCTCGCCGGACCCGTGGTTCACAGGCCGCCCGCCGGGGGACAGCGGGATGCCTGGGCTGCCCGTGTCCAGCACTGGGCTGAGCCTCCCGGAGCCAGGCGGTGCCAAAGCAGGCCTCGCGGCAGACAGCCTGCTGAAGCTCACCCGTGAGCACAACGACGGCTTCTTCCCACCCGGCTGTGGCCCGTCCAGCCCTTGTGCCAGGCTCTGGCTGGGCTCCCCACTGCCCAACTCGCTGCCAAACCAGTCCTGAGTGGAGGTCGTGGTGGTGGGAGGCCCGACGGGAGCCCCCAGCCCCGGGCACTCAGTGCAGTCCTCCTCCGTCAGCCAAGAGCTTTCTCCTGCGCCTGGAGGGGAGCTGGGGGGGGCGGCGGTACTGGGATGCTCCATTCTGGGTGGGCATGGACCAGCGGTTTCGGAGGCATGGAGGCAGGTGACCCCAGCAGGGCTCTGCAGCGCTGTGGGGTTGGTACTGGGGGCACTGCTCTGCCCAGGTGCTGCTGGCAGGCTGGCGGCTGGCAGCAGCACTACGGTCTCATCCAGGCTGCCCGACCCTGCTGCTTCCCAATAAGATGCACGTGTGCTCTCCAGGAGCCCCCCAGCCGGGCTGACTGGCGTGCGGGATGTCTCCGGGGGTCTCCGGACTCTCTGGGGCCGCTGCGGCAGCTCCAGCGTCTCGTCAAAGAGGGAGGAGGAGGAGGAGCTGTTGCCACGTGCCGTGGAGGCGTTCAGACGGCTCTTGGTGCGGGGTGTGATGTGGCAATGCACCGGGCACGGTGGCGATGAAGAGGACCTCGGCGTCCCAGTCGAGTTGGCACAGGTGGCGCTTCTGGGAGCTGAGTCAGGGCTGCCCAGGCGCTGGAGCAGCAGGGTATCGGCTTCGCTTTCTTCCCCATCAGTGCTTTCTTCAGCCCTGCTCAGGGGCACCGTGTCCGCCATGGCTCTGCTCAGAGGCACCGTGTCTGCCGTGCCGGCCGTGGCTCTGCTCAGGGCCACCGTGTCCGCCGTGCCGGCTGTGGCTCTGCTCAGGGGCACCGTGGCCGCCGTGCCGGCCGTGGCTCGGCTCAGGGGCACCGTGTCCGCCGTGCCGGCTGTGGCTCTGCTCAGGGGCACCGTGGCCGCCGTGCCGGCCGTGGCTCGGCTCAGGGGCACCGTGTCCGCCGTGCCGGCTGTGGCTCTGCTCAGGGGCACCGTGGCCGCCGTGCCGGCCGTGGCTCGGCTCAGGGGCACCGTGTCCGCCGTGCCGGCTGTGGCTCTGCTCAGGGGCACCGTGGCCGCCGTGCCGGCCGTGGCTCGGCTCAGGGGCACCGTGTCCGCCGTGCCGGCTGTGGCTCTGCTCAGGGGCACCGTGGCCGCCGTGCCGGCCGTGGCTCGGCTCAGGGGCACCGTGTCCGCCGTGCCGGCTGTGGCTCTGCTCAGGGGCACCGTGGCCGCCGTGCCGGCCGTGGCTCGGCTCAGGGGCACCGTGTCCGCCGTGCCGGCTGTGGCTCTGCTCAGGGGCACCGTGGCCGCCGTGCCGGCCGTGGCTCGGCTCAGGGGCACCGTGTCCGCCGTGCCGGCTGTGGCTCTGCTCAGGGGCACCGTGGCCGCCGTGCCGGCCGTGGCTCGGCTCAGGGGCACCGTGTCCGCCGTGCCGGCTGTGGCTCTGCTCAGGGGCACCGTGGCCGCCGTGCCGGCCGTGGCTCGGCTCAGGGGCACCGTGTCCGCCGTGCCGGCTGTGGCTCTGCTCAGGGGCACCGTGGCCGCCGTGCCGGCCGTGGCTCTGCTCAGGGGCACCGTGTCCGCCGTGCCCAGGTCAGAGCCCCTTGCAGATAGACCCAATGCCTGGCTCTGGCCTCCCCTTCTCCCCTGCTCACACCTGGGGCTTGCCCGTGCAGCTGGGCTGTGCTGTGTGTGTAGCTGCCTCCCCTCCGGCTGACCCAGCGTGGCCGATTCTGCCGTACCCAGCCTGCAGTCCCCAGAGGGGGCAGCTCTCCCCGGACCAGAGTCCTCAGCGCCCAGATCAGCCAGGGCCAAGTGACACGGTGCCCGAGGCAATGAGAGGCGCGTGGCTCTGTTGCTCCCCTGGCGAGGGTCATGCTCCACGGGCTCTGCGCGCTGCGGTGTTTGGGTGGGACGTTGTGACCCCGCACGGCGGGGAGACGGACTGTTCTCAGTGCTGCCTGCGTGCAGCACCAAGGCTGGCTTTCCAGCAGGCCTCAATCCACCACTTTCTCCAAAGCAATGGGCACCTTGGCAGACATCCCCTGCGCTCCCTCCTGCCACCTCTGCCAGCTGCGACCGGGAGGGGGGCACGTCCTGCACAAAAGCCCTCCCCAAAGCCGGCGTTTTTAAGCTCTGTCCCTGGGGTCCAAGCACCAGCTGCTTGCCCGGGCACTGCCACGCGCTCCAGCCAGTACCCCATGCACCCTCGCTGGCCGGCCTGTCTCTCCTGGCCTCCGCGGGGTCAGACGCTTCCACGGTGCTGACGTAGCACTCGCTGTCGCAGCTGCTGTACCGGCTGCTGCTGCTCTCCAAGGGCCTGGATGAAATCTTGGGTGCTTTCTCCAGCGATGCAGGGACCATCACCGTTTTGTCCAGGTCATGGAGGGCGGTGGAGTGCGCCCAGCAGAAGAGGTACGCATGGTCGGGGGACGTGGCATCCAGCCCCTCCCAGTCTCCCGTGGCCGGATCGAGGAAGCCATCCAGCTGAGCCAGGCTGTGGGGCACGGGGCAGGGCTCCCTTGTATCCCGACTGGAGGGAAACGGGCCATGGGACTCACAGGGACTGGCACTGCCCGGCGTTCGGCGCGTACTGCCAGGCTGCCGCGGTGAGTGGACGACCACAGTCTCATCCAACGGGGGGTCCCCCGCATGCAGTGCTGCCCGGGGAGGCAGGTCCCAGCTGCTGCGTGCCATGTGGGCAGTGCCAGGGCTGGAGGATGCCAAGCTGTCCTCAGCCTCTGCTGGCTCTTCCTCAGGGGCTGCAGGGAGACTCCAAGCCCCTCCCTGAGGTCCATTGCTGGCGGAGAGCAGCGTGCTGCACAGCACTGGCTGGGGCAAGGCCGGCTGGCCGCGGGCGCCCGCGTCCGGACGGGTGGAGAAGCAGAGCCACGGGGGTGGAGGCTCCAGCTGGCTCCGGGGGATCCCTGCAGCATCTGGAAAGGTGACATCCAGCCCCGTCTCCCTGGGGCTGCCGTCCGGCAGCCACTTCCACGTGCTGCTTGGTGGGGCCGAGCTGGCTTCAGAGAGCCGGGAGAAGACGCTGCAGTCCGTGCTGTCGGCAGTCACGGGGCAGGGGGGGCTCCCGGCTCTGCCCGGCCCATCGGGGCTGACTGCAAGGCAGAAAGGCACTTGCTAAGTGACATTTGCGACGCTAGGGCAGCAAGCGGTGACACAAGCACGTGCTGCATGGCTGGCGTCTTCCAAGAAGGCCCGGCCGGCTCTGCCACAGAGGGAGATTCCCCTTAAATGGCATTTTGCACGTGCTTCCCGTGGCAGCCAGCCACGCTGGCGGGGGGAGCGAACCCCCTGCCTACCCGAAACGGGTGCCACCCAGCCACGCTGGCGGGAGCAGCAAACCTCTGGCTACCCGCAAGCCCCGTGCCCCCTCGGAGGTCCAGATGATACTCACACTTGGGCCGGCGCAGACACACAGGCCAGGCCCGGGCACGCTGGAAGTCCTGCAGGATTTGCACACACATGGTGTTGCCCTGCTCCGTGGCCAAGTCGATGGCTCGGCTCCCATCCTGGCAACAGAAGGCACCGACCGTAAGAGACTCCGAGCCCTGCGCCTGCCCTGCACCTCTAGGACGCCCTGGGAACCAGCCCTGGGGAGCAGCGGCCTGCTCGGAGCGGCTCCAGCCCAGCCTAAGGCTGGAAGGAGACTCCCCTTTTATGCAGGTGACAGATTTTCCAAGCCAGCTGGGACCTCTCCTATCCCTTTACCCAGGGCCCCACCATCTAGGCCCACCCGGCTGGGGCCGCAGCCTGGCTTTCAGCGGGACCTAGTCTGGACTAGCTTGCCGTGACAAGGCATCCACCGCAGCCCCAGCGGCAGTTGTTGGGTTTGCGGGTGCCTGGCGCTCACCTGGTCTTCAAGGTCGGGGTCCCCTCCTTTCCTCAGCAGCAGCTTCAAGCACTTGTAACAACCCCAGGAGGCCGCTACGTGCAAGGGCGTGAGCTCCTCGGCAGACCTGCAACACGCAGCACCTGGCTCAGGCTTCCGGTGCCGTCTAACGTGCCACAGACCAGTGGCGCCCACCCTTTCAGATGCATGGTGCGGGGCTGGTCTGTGGGCCGGATCCTGAGCTGTGTCAGGCCATGGGGTCGAGCCCCGTGCGCCCGCTCAATCTAGCATCTGGCCTGCCAGAGCACCCCACGGATCCAGAACCGGGGCAGCAGGGGAGCAGCTATTCACGCTGCCACCGCGCCCACACTGCAAAGCTTTCTGACCCGTGGGTGACACGGCTCTGCGGGCTGGTCTCGCACGAGACGAATGCCTAACACCAACACACGGATTTGGTGCGTAGCAAAGACAGACGTTGGGAAGCTGCCTGGGCAAAAAAGGCAACTAATTCCAGGGAGCAAAGAACGGCCAGGTCAAGGCAGTACCACGAGGGGGCAGGACCCCCCCGTTTCACCCACAGCCTCGCGCTCCCAGTGCCCCACCACCCCAAACCCAGTGGCCACTGCAGGCGCGCTGCAGAGGGGGCACGGCGCCGCCCTGCCTCACCTGGCGTTGGGGTCCCCGCCATACTGCAGGACGAGCTGCAGGCAGCGCACGCCGCTCTCCCGCTCCTTGCCCGCGGCCAGGTGCACGGCGGCAACGCCCTCGGGCAGGACGAGGTTGGGGTCCGCGCCCTGCTTCAGCAGCGCTTCCACCGCCCTGCAGCGGGAGCACGGGGTCACTCGCCACTCGGGGGAGAGCTGCCGGGGGCCCCCCCAGGAAAG